ATATTTAATGTTTCTCTGCAGTGTGGATTTCAGTAAACAAGTAAGCAGTGCCTCTGCTTATCATAGAGTGCTGTTGAAGCCTGTAAAGTCTGGCATGGCACAGGTGATCCTCTCTTGGTGGGATATTGACATGGATCCCTCTGGCACAATAAAATGCACAATGGCACCATACTGGGCACAACCCACCACTCTTGATATCCAAGTAAGATACTGAGCATCTGTTAATTCCTGTTGTCAAATGATGACCCTTTAACTATATTAAGTAGAGTTTTGTAATGTATTGGGTTTTTGTTGTTTACATTTTTACAGTGGAGAGACCACTGGATGCAGTGTGTATATTTTCTTCCAAATGAAAAACCACTTCTTCAGGGTGAGATTGTGTATTTAACTGCCTGTCGTGATGAGTATTCTGTGCGGTACAAGCTTCAAAAAGCAAGGTAACTATAGAGGAAGGAAGGGAAGGAGCTGGTTTGAAGATATGGGCTTATGCTAATCTTAAATGCATCCCATGGAATTGCACAATTATGCGCTCGTGTATTTTGCACATAAATTGTATGACTGCGCATAATCACATAATAGCGCATAATTCTCCGGAGTGTAGGTGGTGAGTGGGAAGGGGAGCTCCTGCCTGCAGGAGAGGAGGGTGGGCATGGGCCATCCTGCCATGTGCAGCTCTCAAGATTTGCCACAGCTGCGTGCTGCCGGGGGATCTGCCTGCTGCAGCCAGGAGCACCCTGAGAACCCACCAGCGGTTGGGACTGCTGGGGGAGGCATGTGACGGCAGGAGTTGTGCATGTGGTGGGGGGCGGGGCGTGTGGCAGCAGGGACTGTGCACTGGTGGGGCAGGGACTGTACTGGGGTAGTGGGCATGTGGATGCAGGGGCTGTACCGGGGGGCGGGGCTTGTGGCAGGGGAGCCTACAAACCCCACACATGCCTACACACACCTTCACAACCCCCCCCACCAGCCAACACCCACTGCTGACTACATCTCCCCCCTCCCCCCCGGCCATGCACAACTACCTGTATATATTTCTAAAGAAGGGTCAAGTAGTGTTATATTTAGTTTAATTTTTTAAGTAATTAACTTGGCATTATTTTGAATTTTTCTGCACACAATTTTGAATTTTTCTGCATATAATTCCCTAGTGCATATCGAAACCTGAGGCACTTTGAATTTGTAGGTTCCTCACCACTGCTGTGGATTCATCATTAAGCATAGTAATATCAGATAAGTGTTGGCACATTTACCTGACACCACCAGTTACAACTGTGTGGAAACAAAAAATGACGCGTATATGAAA